TCTTGATGTCTGACTCTGATCATGATCGTGTACAGCAGTAGCCAGTCTAGCACGGTATGATTCAACTTCTGCTTCCAGGCTCTCTTTATTTTGTTTTTCATTCTCCAGTTTAGAGTTTAGCATCGTAATCTCAGCAGTCAGAACATTAAGCTGTCCACTATATTGGAATATTGTTTTTGATAATGTTTCCTCATTCTGTTTTATGGTCTTTTGAAGATTGTCATTCTTTTCTTTTACAATTTCAATGTCTTCACAATATTTCGTTTCCTTTCCCTGGTTCTGATTTTTTATGGTGTCTATTTCCAGTCTTAGCATGGCAATTTCATCCTGCAACATGTGGTTTTTATGCAACAGATCTTGTTGTTTCTCATGACTATCAGAAAGCTAAGTAAAACAAAGGAAATTTTCAGATAGCACTCAATAAAATGACATTATATCATGATTTTATTTCCAATTACAGTATAATCTGTTTATACAATGAAAAGGTTGCAAGGGGTGCAAGGGGTGCCAGGGTGGCTCAGTTGGTTAAGCCTCTGACTCTCGATTTTGGCTCAGGGAATGATCTCAGATTCTGTGGGTTTAAGCCCCGCATCAGGCTCTGTGCTGACAGTACGGAACCTGCTCGGGATTCTCTCTCTCCCTGCCCCTTCCTGGCTTGTGCTCGCTCTCTCAAAAATAAATAAATACACATGGAGGGAGGGAGGGAGGGAGGGAGGAAGGAAGATTATAGTAAGTGAATATCCAACTGGAAAAAAATAAAGTTGGCTCCAAATCTCAAATTTTATGCAAGCATAAGTTCCCAAAAGTTCAGAACTTTAACTGAAGATAATGAAGGCATGAAAGTAAAAAAGAATTCGTGAGAAAAGTTTTCAGAATGTCAGAATTGGAAAAGCCTTTCTGATTTACAACAAACCAGAAGGCCTGAAATAAAAGATTAATAAATCTGACTACACTTAAAAATTGAGTTTACAGTAGATATCGAACACAGCTACCCCATAGTAAAATCGTTAGCTCTGCATCTACTTGGACAGATTAAATTTCCTAAAATTCTTTTTTCCTGAGAATATTTCATAGATATCTACTTTGCTAATATTTCTATAGTCAGTTATAAGAATATATCTATTGATAACTGACAAATCTAGGCACTGTACTATAATATAAACACTTCTCCATACATCAATGAACTCATTTGGTTATCACAATTCTAGAATGCAGAGATTAAAACTGTGAGCTGCAGGACTCTCCCCAGGTCTTCTCACTCCACAACTAGTGCTCCTGCACCAACCACTGCTACTTCTCTAGTGTAAATACACAAGTACGAAAGAAGTCTTGGATTTCAAAATACTGATAGGAAATAAGGTGAAATTTATACATCTCTTAGAAAATCATGAGATTATTTACTGCTGCAATAACTTGTATTTCCTCTTCATGTTGAAAATAGTAATAAATAGGGGCGCGTGGGTGGCGCAGTCGGTTAAGTGTCCGACTTCAGCCAGGTCACGATCTCGCGGTCCGTGGGTTTGAGCCCCGCGTCGGGCTCTGGGCTGATGGCTCAGAGCCTGGAGCCTGTTTCCGATTCTGTGTCTCCCTCTCTCTCTGCCCCTCCCCCGTTCATGCTCTGTCTCTCTCTGTCC